AAAGTTCAGTCAGGTAGAGGCGGTAGAGATCTTATTAGTGGTGTTACAGGTCAGCAGCGTGGGGGTAGAGATACCACCTAGGCTGGAGGTGGCAGAGGGGGACAATGTTATGCTTTCTCGGGAAGGCCTGAGGCTAACACATCTAATACAGTTATTATAGCTATTGTCCCAGTCCACCATTGATCTGCATGTGTGTTGTTTGATCCAGGGTCTACTTTCTCTTATATGTCTACTCATTTTGTTGCTGGTTTGATATGATATGTGATAACATACATGTACCAGTTCATGCGTCTACACCCGTAGGTGAGCCCTTCGTGGTGGATCGAGTGTATCGATCTTGTCTTGTTTCTTTGGCGGGGTATGACACTTTAGTAGACTTGATCATTCTTGGGATGGTAGACGTTGATGTTATCTTAGGTATGGATTGACTTTCTTATTATCATGTTATTCTTAAATGTAATGCTAAGACTATGACCTTAGAAATGCCTGGTATTCTAGGGTTGAGTGGAAAGGTGCTAGTTTTTTACCCTAGCAAGGTTGTCTCTTTTATCCATGCTCAGAGATTGGTAGAGAAAGGGTGTTTGTCCTATTTAGCCTTCATTTGTGCCACTAATATTGAGCCACCTCCCATGGATTCCATTTCTATGGTTCAAGAGTTTCCAGATGTGTTCCCTACTGATCTTCCAAATGTTCCTCCCGACATGGATATTGATTTTGCTATTGATTTGGAGTTGGGAACTAAACATGTTTCTATTCCTCCTTACCGTATGGCTACAATAGAGTTGAAGGATTAGTTACAAGATTTATTAAGTAAGGGGTTTATTCGCCCTAGTGTGTCACTTTGGGTGCCCAGTGTTATTTGTGAAGAAAAAGGATGGGACTATAAGGATGTGTATTTATTACAGACAGTTGAACAAGGTAACGGTGACGAATAAGTATCCTCTTCCACGCATTGATGACTTATTTGATCATCTCCAGGGAACATCGTTGTTCTCTAAGATTGACTTAAGGTTCGGGTATCATCAGTTGAAGATTAGGGCATCAGATATTCCTAAGACAACTTTTCAGACTCGATATGGGCATTATGAGTTCCTAGTGATATCTTTTGGGTTGACTAACACCCCTGCAATATTCATGGAGTTGATGAACGGGGTGTTTCGACCATACCTTGATATTTTGGTTTACTCCAGGACTGAGGAGGACCATGTTTGACACTTGAGGATTGTACTTCAGAGGTTGAGGGAAGAGAAGTTACATGTCAAGTTCTCAAAGTGTGAGTTTTGTCTTATTTCTGTGGCATTCTTAGGGACACGTAGTGTCCAAAGAGGGTATTAGAGTAGATCCAGCCAAGATTGAGGCAGTTAGTGGCTGGATGCGACCTACATCTCCTACCGAGATTTAGATTTTTGTGGGATTGGTGTCACGCCCCGAGGCTACCCCTTGACATAACATAAGACCTAGGATCACGAGTGACCCCAAGCTAACCCTAAATCTGTCATGTCATGAACATACTGAAAATAGCTAAGTAAAACATGTACTATGCGGAAACTAACATAGTGGATATCTAAAAATGGGGAAAACATGAAATGGTCTGAATATAAGTGAAATAAACGAAGAGTTTAGTGCTAACTGAAACAACCACTTAACAAATCAAGTTGAATCTACTACTATGTCTGAAAAGCCTCTAACTGAGTTGAGTTACTGGGACATGCCCCCCAGCTAACTCTAACAAAACTGAAACTAAACTTAATGACTAAAATGAAAGCATGTCTATTGTCCTCGAAATATGAGGACTCGCCACTGAAGCTACTGAATAGGGACTGAGAATCGATCTAAGCGTGATCTGGATGATGAGTACCTAAACCTATATTATGAAAGGATGTAGTGCAGAGTATGCGTCAGTACTTGTAATGTATTGAGCATGTATGATATAGCTACTAAGTGGAACAAATATATATGAGTTGAACAAAGCATAACTGAGCAATGACATAATTTGAGCAAGAATATAAATATTGAAACATAACTAAAAATTTAAGTTGAATACAATGACCAAGTACTAATCATGATGTTGTATACTAATATAAATGTTGAAAACCTGGTCAATGAACTAAAAGTCTGATTGTGGGAGCTACTATCAACCGACATAAACCACGTGAGCTAAATGTAGAGTCCGATGTATACACCCCATCAAGAGGACCCAATATACCTTGCCAGGGGTATAAAGTCATGACTGTGGCGTGATCACTAATATTGATGCCCAACAGAGGGGACTTATAATCCTACGTGGACATGTAGTTCTCCGACTATGAGGGTACATTGAACACTAGTCCAACTTGGTGCTAAGTCTACTCCCAACTGAATACATATGAAACTAAAATGCACTAAATACTGAATAGCTCAAAATACTGACATACTAACTGAGAATGCAACATTTATATACTGAGAATGTGACATTCGAAATCTGGAGCATGATTTTCTGTTTAACTGAACTAACAAGTATAATTCATGAACTAAAAGAATTTACACCAACTGGGATTCTGAGTTTTATACAAGGAATTATGCAGCGTTTCCAAGAAAATATGATATTTAGATTGTGGATTCTATAGCAATTGAAATCACAACAAATTCCCAAGATTTTTACAAACCCTATGTCTAAACAAGCTATGTAGAATCAAGGAACTGACAGAATTCTAGGGACCTAGTGTATGAAAAGAAGTGACGGAACTCTTGAAGAACATTGATGCTTGTTCTTGAAAGAAACTGGTGCCTCTTTCTCTTTTTTTTCGTTCTAATTTGGATGATTTTTGGAGAATGAGGGTTCTGGGTATGTCTGACTAGGTTATTAGGCTAAGACTGAGTAAAACGACGTAGTTTAGGCATCAAATGACGTATTTTAAGGGCCCCAACGCATGGGAAAAGATCAAAACGCCCTAACTCTAAAGCTGACGAAGGCCATCCATGGTGGGACTGACGGACCATCGTTTGGACTATCGACCATCGTGTGGGGTCATCGTTCATGCTTTGCCCAACAGGGCTTCACTAAAACGAGCATAACTTTTTACTCCCAAGCTTGGATTTTAGCAAACTTGGTGGCGTTGGAAAAATGTTATCTTTAATTTGATAGGTCATGGGCCACCTAATTCATTATGTGCTAAAATATATGACCGTTTGAAGTTGACCCAACAACTATTTTCCTCTAAATAGTTGTTGACCCTCACATACGGTCTGTAGGTCCAACCACAGACCATACTGGTCGACCGTGGGTGGGATCAGAGACCATCAAACTTTGGACCCCTACTACGGAACCAATCTACGGTCCGTGGTTCACGGATGTAGGTTTTATCTTTAGATCCAAAATTTTCCCCAAGTTTGGGACTAAACCACGGGACCCCACCTGCAGACCATGGTCTGACACACAGTCCATCGGTGGCTTTCTTTGGTTCTGACACCAGATCCTGGAAAGATGCATTTTTCTATTTTCTTGAATCCGCGGTGTTACAATTGGCAGGATACTACCGACGATTTGTTCAAAATTTCTCTACTATTGCAGCTCCAATGACTAGATTGACTCGACGGGCTGTGAGTTTTCAGTGGTCCGATGAGTGTGAGGAGAGCTTTGAAAAGCTCAAGACTTTGTTGACTTCGACTTATGTATTGACTCTTCTTGAGGAAGGTGTGGACTTTACTGTGTATTGTGATGCTTCTGGAGTCGGGTTAGATGGTGTATTGATGCAGAAGGGGAAGGTGATAGCTTATACTTCTATGCAGATGAAGACCCATGAGAAGAACTACCCTACTCATGATTTGGAGTTGGAGGTCGTGGTCTTTGTGCTTAAGTTATGGCGTCACTATTTGTACGGGGTGCATTGTGAGATCTTCACTGATCATTAGAGTCTTTAGTACATCTTCAGTCAGAGCGATCTGAACTTAAGGCAGCGTTTATGGCTTAAGTTACATAAGGACTACGACGTGACCATTCTATATCATTCGGGGAAGGCCAACATGGTGGCCGATGCTTTGAGTAGGAAGACTCCTAGCATGGGGAGTCTTGTTGCGCTCAGTATTGAGGAGAGACTATTGGCTAGAGATCTTTAAATATTAGCTAACAGTCTTGTCTGGATGCAGATTTCAGAGGAGAGTGATAGTATCATTGTTTTTATTGAGGCTTAAACCCCTTAGTCGAGCAGATTCGTAAGCACCAGTTTGATGATGAGAAGTTGTGTCTCATTGAGACAAAGTGTTGAAAGGGGAAGCCAAGGAGGTTGTCTTTGATTCTGATGGTGTCTTAAGGATTGGGGGCATGATTTGTGTGCCTAAGACAGGAGAGTCGATTAGATTTATCCTTGAGGAGGTCCATTGTTCTCGATATTCCATCCATCCGGAGCAACGAAGATGTATCATGATCTGAGTCAACCTTACTGGTGGTGTGGCATGAATAAGGATATTGGAGACTTTGTTTCTAAGTGTCTGACTTTCCAACAGGTCAAGTGTGAGCGCCAGTGGCACGAGGGTATATCTCATAGGATGCCCATCTCTATTTGGAAGTGGGAACGGATCACTATGGACTTTATTGTTGGTTTGCCTACCACAATGGGTGGTTATGACTCCATTTAGGTTGTGGTTGACAGGTTGACCAAGTCTACCCACTTCATTCCGGTTTAGGTGAAGTATAGACGGAGAAGTTAGCCGAGCTTTATATCAGTCAGATTGTGCGACTACATGGAGTCCAGGTTTCTATTGTCTCTGATCAAGGTACATTATTCACTTCCCATTTCTGGAAGGCATTACAACATGGTTTGGGTACTCGGTTATATATGAGTACCGCTTTTCACCCTCAGACATGTGGCCAGTCCGAGCGGATGATTCAGGTGTTGGACGAATGCTCAGAGCTTATGTGATCAATTTTGGTGCTAGATGGGATCGACATTTACCCTTAGTAGAGTTTCCCTACAACAACAGTTATCATTCCAGTATTCAGATGGCTCCATTTGAGGCGTTGTATGGCCAACAGTGTAGGTCTCCGATCAGTTGGTTTGATTCGGCAGAGATGGACTCTTTGGATACAGATTTTGCTTAGAGATGCTATGGAGCAGGTTTGTATGATTCAGGATAGACTGTCGACAGCCCAAAGTCGACAGAAGAGTTATGCAAACCGAAGAATTCGAGCCCTAGTGTTTATGGAGGATAATCATGTTTGGCTCCGAGTATTACCCTTGAAGGGTGTGATGAGGTTCGGGAAGAAAGGCAAGCTTAGCCCTAAATTCATTGGACCTTTGAGATTTTGAGTCGAGTGGGAGAGGTGGCATATAAGTTGGCCTTCCAACCTAGTTTGTCAGCAGTTCATCCTAGTTTCCATGTCTCCATGCTTTGGAAGTATATTCCGTATGAGTCTCATGTACTTTTACTTGATTCAGTGGATATGGGTCTAGACTTTACATTCGAGGATGAGCCTATAGCTTTATTGGATAGGCAGGTTCGAAAGCTTAGAACCAAAGAGACTGTGTCAGTAAAGGTGCAGCGAAAGCACCATTCAATTAGAGAGGCAACTTGGGAGATGGAGTCGACATGCGTGCTACATATCCTCAACTTTATTAAGCTTTAGGTACTATCGTTAACCTTATGCTCGAGGACGAATATGATTTTTAGTGGTGGATAATGTAATGACCCGGAAGGGTATAGTCATTCCATTTTTACTCTTTGCACAAGTTCGTGCGGCATCCCACTAACAAAAACAAAACAGAGAAGAAGAAAGCAAATAACCAAGAGTGTTCAGGTAAAGTTTAACTAAAATCCTCATCTTTTGTGTATGTGTTGGTATATCTCTGTAGTGATTTCTTAAGAATGGATGGAAATCAACAATAATGATTATTATAGGGAAAATACATAAAAAAAAACCTGAACTTGGTTGAATAACTTACTTTATACTTAAACTACACGGGAGTTTAAATACCTCCCTTAACATCTTTGAAGTGATTTTTTTCCACCCTGAGACTATAATACCACTCTCACCCGCCACATCATAGCCACGTAAGCGCCACATCATAACCATGTAGGCACCATGTCATTAATTGTTATTTCTTTTTTACTTATTCACTATTTTTTCTTAAACACTTTTGAAAATTAATTATATCAATTAATTAATTTATAAATGCATACCCCACACCTCTCTTTCTTCTTCCTTGTTGTTCATCATTATTCCAGTCTTCCATACTTTCTTTTCTTCTTCTTCACTATTCAAAAAATTTTAAGTCACTTTAAAGAAGAAAATTCACTAATATTCACATTATCTTCTTTGAACCCTCCCAATGAATTTACCCACTTGGAGAATGGATTTTTTTGAAAGCCAATATTTTCTTGACAACTCAAATAAGAAATGAAGATTGCATAAGAAAGTTAGTCCAAAAAAATATAAATTTTATGAAAAATGTTTGAATGGATCTAGAAATCAAAATGGGTCACTCAAAATTTAAGAAAGTTTATATTTGCCAAATCGACACCAATAATATAGAGTGAAATTGACGTCAATAAAATGACATTGGTATTGAATTTTATGGATTAGTAAAAGACTAGTGAAATGAAAATAGTGGATAGAGGTGGGGATGAAGATGGAGGAGGAGATGTTTCAATGGAGAAAGATGTGTATTAAGGAAGACAACAAATTGAAAAGAAAAAAAAAATTTAAAGAAATTAAAAAGGGAACCCACTAATTTCATTTACCTCTTATTAAGAAAATTTACATATTTTAAAGATTTAATATATATAAAAAAAAACTATTTAAATAATTTGTTATATATATAGGCCAATAAAAAAAGGCCATGTGTAGGGCTTTAAAAATTCAGCTTTTTTTTCCTCTGTTTTCACGCACTTTCAGGAGAGTGCACTCACTCTCTCTGCCACATCATCCTTTAGAGGGTGTTTTAATCACTTCAAAGATGTTTAGGAGGGTATTTAAACACCCGTGTAGTTTAAGTACTAAAGTAAGTTTTCGTGCCAAGTTCAGAGTTTTTTTTTAATGTATTTTCCCATTATTATATTAATAAAGTGAAGATGAGAAGTTCAATATTTGGCAATTATGAAGCCATATGTGGTTGCTGCATGTTATGGTCGGTTTGGTGGCTTTAATTTGTATATTATTACTTGTTAAAGATTTGTTATATCATTCCTTACTTTAGCAATTATTGGAATAGTTCTCTTGGTTAGTTGTTTAACCAATTAGATTTCCCTCAACGTTATGGGTGTGACAAAGATTCGCTACATGCTAGAATTGCACTTAACAAACTAGATTGCAATGATAGAAAAAAATGACCCTCCTCAAGTGCGTATTTATTTTATCTTCCGATGTCATATGATATTTGCTTGTGGAATCGATGATGACCTCTATGAAATGATGCTTGTGTGAGTCTAGTTGCAAGGAGAACTTAGTTCATACAGTATTTCTAATGATAAAAAAAGTATGGCTAAAAACTACACTAGTTTCGTGACCAGTGGTTCCCATATTTAGTAATTCTTATTTTATTAGAACATTATAAATTAAAATTTTAATATATTGAGATCGGTAATATAATATTAAGTGTATTGTATTATATGAATATCATTAGAGTTAGGATATTGGAAAAATTGAGACTTAACCTTAGGCTTGAACCTTAAGAACTTAATTATATATGTGAGTAAGGTTTGGGTCTAGGCTAGACATACATTAATATGAATGTTGTTAGTTTCGAAATCTTATTGTGGTTATTTATTTGAATAGATTGCACTGATTCGAAAACCCAACGAAAAGAGAAGGCTCAAGTCCCAGAGTAATTGTTTGATTATTTAAGGCAATTAGATTTCCCAACCCATGTTAAGTGTATAGAAATGGGTATTTCCCTGTGGTATGTGTTGGGGTGTAATGGGATTTGGTGATGGGTTGACTTGTCCATATTGAATGATTCTAATGATGAAAAACAGAGATTAAAAGGCAACATGACTAATTATTGGTGTGTGATGTGTTGAGAATGGTTTGAAAGGCTTACTGATTCATTGTTGATGTTATATCACGATTGTGTTGTTATGAATTGTGCATTGTTATGAAAATGGTCATCTTCTCATCAATTGTGTGAACATGTCATTTGCATTGGTTCTTAGACATGATTGTGAAAAGTGTCATGTGAATTGAGGAAAAATAAGAAATTAAAGAGGATGCACCATTTTGAGAGACGTGTCGCTCGTCGCAACGAATATTATGATTTAAGGGACGTATCGTACACCACGATGAATTCCATTATCGAGGGGTATGTCACACGTCGTGACAGATTCTATTATCGAGGGATGTGTCGCACACCGCGACGGATGCATGAACAGCTATGTCCCCCATGGGTCCTTGAATGACGGACAATGAGTGTGTATCACTAGGTCAGACATGCATCATCATACTTAACATTGCATTTCATTGTATTGTATACCTTCATCATGGTGAACTTATGAGTGCTTTCTGTGGAATTTGTGATTGATGACTTTATCCAGCGTATTGTTGATCTTGAATTGTCGAAATGTTGTCGTTGAGCTATGAACTATTTAAATTGTGCACTGTTAGGTTTGACTTATTTTATGCAGGTTGTAGTTGTGGAGGTTTGGTTCGAGTGTAAGGGGTACCCGTTTTCTATAGTCTTAGTTTGTGTTTAGTTGTTTCCTTGCTGAGTACCGTGTGGTTTGGTACTCATCCCCTTGATTATACATTTGTGTAAGTTACAAGCCCGGATCTTCGTGATACTTTATACTCTCTTCTTGTCCGAGGCTTGTTGCGGAGATTTGTGAGGTAGATGTTTGTCATCCCAGCGGACCTTCTTACTCCTATTTATGATTTTATTTTGTTTTAGAGACTATCATTTTATACTTGTGTTATTATTTCAATTCTATTATAATACATTAGAGGCATGTGCACGTGGCAATTAGGTTTTGGAGATTTAGTTAAGTTGACTTGGTATCCGCATTAGTGTTTGCTATTAAACTTCTAAGTTTATTTTATTTTCAGACTTTATTTTAATGGTTGAGTTTAAGGCTGACTTTCTTAGTGGGATAAGACGAGTGTCACCACATCCATACTTAGGTCGTGAAACTGACATGTTTTGGTGGTCAGGTAATTGAGTGTAATTGACATGAGTTATTAAGCTCTCCAATTCATAGGGAGGGGTTGTGAACTACTGGTAATTACATGTTGTAATTACAAGTTTATTACATTTTAATTTCTTCTTTTTATTTTTTCATTCTAATATATTTTTAATTTCTATTATTTTAAATTCAAATTTATTTTGTTTTTATTATTCTAAAAGTTTATTTTTTATTTTTTATTTTTTATTTTTTATATTTTATATCTTATTTCCTTCTCATTCTCAACATTTACTTCATGTGATTCCATACAATTTTTCATTCTATCTATTTTTTATGCCATGCTTATTTTTTTATTGGCATAATTTTGATAGTATTCTACTTTTTAAATTAAAGTAGAATTCATTGTTGAGTAAAGTTTATAGACTTCGGTTTTACTTTTCTTTTAAATTATATTTATGTATGTTATGTTGAAATTTAATATAAGACTAATTTGTTTTGAATTTAGAACTTATTTTATATTTTCAGTTACATTTGTTTTAGTAGTATTGACTTGACAATTCACATTGCAAGTCATTTATTTTTTAGTTAGACTTGGTCGATTATATTTTTGCCAAATAATTTATGATATTTTATTTATAATATTAATCTTTTTGTCAAACATGCATTTCATGATGTCTTGTACTTTTAGTTTTATGAATAATTCAATTGAAATATACTACTTTGAAAAATATAAATCAATTATTTTTCATAATATTAGTTAAGAACATATGCTTATTAATTAATATTTTTTCAAAAGATAATATATCTCTAAAATATTTAATTTAATATCATTTATAAAGTTTCTTATTTGTCTAATATTAATTTTAACTAATTAACTTTTATTTTTAAAATTTAATATAATTTTATAATTGCAATTGTGCATCCAAATAGCACATGTGCAATTACAGTGTAATTACATTGTGACAAACAAACATGTTAGTGTAATTACTAGGTTGTGTAATTACTAGGCTAGTAATTACTACCCTAGTAATTACACTAATTCCAATTACCAGGTAGCTTTCAAAACAGACCCTTAATGTATTACGACAAAAAATGAGTCATGAGTGACACCCACACCCACTCTTAAGAGAGGTAACAACTGTGAACTATCTCTGAACTCATCAACTCATTTAGAAATCAGAGTTTCTCTTTTCTCAATGTAAAAACATGATACATTTGGAAATACTTAGTTCCCTTATACTTTTTCTCAAATCATGTATAAAACTCTTTTCAAAGCTCATCTTTGCTTTCTTAGAAAATCAATTTAAAAAGATTCTCAATAATAACTCAATAAATGCTCAAGTACTAGGGCTCATGCTTAAAAATAGGCATGAAAATTGTAACACCTCGCTATCTAAAAGAACTAGAAAGAG